CTTCTTCGGTTGCTGAATTGAAAGTGGGTGACAAAATTCTTGCACACAAAGATATATACGTAAACACACACATAAATAAATAAATAACAAACATACATACATACATACATACATACATACATACATACATACATACATACATACATACATATACATACATACATACATACATACATACATACATACATACATACATACATACATACATACATACATATATACATACATACATACATGCATATGCGAGCCGATCCCAAATCCTAAGAAAAGTCATACTCAGTCGTCAGTGGAATATAGTTTTCAACGCTATAAAAGGGGACCATTCGTTATACTAGGCGTCTTCATAACATGTCTGGAGCCTCATTTAACGTCGCCGTCCTAGACCTCCACATCGACAAAGGGCTCTTTGTCTCTCGCTGGCGGCTCTTCAAGGCATCCTCAGTTTGGGAGCATCCAGTACTCCTTTCCAACTCTTCGGACATCATTATATGCTGTATTTGCAAGCAAGCACAGTATGCGTGGTTTTTGAACAAATCTTTGATGCATTACTCTTACGCAACCAGGTTTCCGCGGATTCATCGTCATACACATAGAGACCAAGTACACACATCTCGTACTAATACGAGATCTCTCCGTATGCATCCTTTGTTTTTACTCAAAAGTTGCATCAATAAACAAAAAAAGCGATTCTGACTTCTACATAAGTCAGTACCAAATTATAACCGAAAGGAGTCGACTAAGCACAAAAAAACTGGTAATCTCCATTAAAGAAATGGAAAAATTATTTTTCACTTAGGCGGAATGCGACTAATCAATCGCTCATGAAGCGTAAGCCTTGCTAGCGCGATGATTAAAATATAACTAGACAATCATAGAAAGTCCTGCTGACGAAACAGTTTTCTTGCAGTCAGTTACGTATCACTAGTGCATTTTCTGATGGCTTAATGGGGCTTAAGTCCATAACCCTCTGGTGGTATAATGGGGCAGTAAACACGCAAATACTATAAAAAAAAAATTTTGCGGTTCAACCGTCACTCAGTTACAGCACACATCACGCCTGCACAAGTAGTTGGACTACTTTTGCAGCAGATCCGCGTACTATCCGTCTCTCAACAGTGCGGTGAAAAAAAGACATGAAACTTACCGCAACAATCTGTGAGGCCATCTCAATATGACCAGCGACGGTATCTCGTTTTAAAGCAGCTTCGGGACTGAGCTCCAGCAATGCCGACTGGGGATTAAACATTGCCATATTTCGACGAGTATTTACAGCTTTTTCATAAACTTTAGCAGCCTCGGACGGACTGTATTCCTGTAGTTTCCTAAAAATAAATCACTGTCAGAAATAAATTGGTCATTTATGTGATATTTCTTTTGTCGAAAAAAGGATGTTTTAAGAGCAGAAACAGACAAAGATAACAGATAGAAAAAGTATGAATAATCGGCAGCATATCTCAATGACTGATTAAGGTTACAGTCATCCTGTTACAAGGAAAAAATGCAAATAATTGGCATTAAAAATCATCTTAAAACACAAAAAAATCGGAGCCTTGAGACCGTTTTACAGCCAAAATAACAACAAAAAAACCAGTCGCAGCTTGCACCGCCAAAGAACTTGTGTCGAAATAAAAAGAGAGAAGCACGATCTGGGCAAGAAGCGCAACATTGTTCGAAACTCCAGACATACATCAGTTGGGAAGGATGTGACGCAGAGTAATTCTACTGCCTGCGCTTTTCACGGATTGTCTCGATAAAACGCTTCGTAAACTGTGTTGGAAAGCTGATATGAACATTAGTGGTGAACAACTCAACTGCGTGTTACGAAAATTCGTGAAAAAGAAATTGCGTGCGTAAAACTTACGCATCAGTAAACCCGTATAACTTCATCAAAAAGCTCTTCAAATAAAGCAAAATGAAGCATGCTTGACTGTTCTTCATGCATTCAAATAATACGCGCTTGTCTTCCGGCAACCGTCCTATAGAAGGAAAATTTAAGAAAAATTAACTCCTTAAACAGTTTTTCAAGAAGTAAAGATGCCGAACTGGGCCCGGCGACAACAACTCCTCCACTAAACACTAAAATCCTAAGCAATTTCCGCAAATTACAAAAAATAAACCATAACTTGTTATTCAAAGGAAAAATAAATCAAGATTTATATTTAAACCGAGATCATGCTCACTTTTTTAGAGATTAAACATCTCAAACAACTGCTTGTTCAAGTTCTTCACTTTCCTAGCCAAAAATTCATAGGCATCGGCGCAAGAAACAACACATTCTTTGGGAAATATAAATCTATCATTGAAAGTTAATTATAAATCATCTCATATTCCCCTCACGAAAATTTCAAACTTCGCGAAGATTA